GAAATTTCTTAGGACAGGAATGAAGAAGACCTGGTCCGGAGGTATCGATCACCCCACTACTTTTCGACCCGCATCGCCCCACATCCAGCTATCCCTTGCCACATCCCCAACAACTTGCTCCCCCCAATCAAACCAAGGAAGCAAGCCCCACTCTAAAACCTTAAAGCAAACTTTAAGATTCCTAACCTAACAACTCCCTTAATCCGTCATGTCCAACGAAGTCGCCGATAACCACGACGGTTCTCCTGCTGGCGATGAATCACTTTTCGATAACTCTTTTCAAAACCTGAATGTCAACGATGACCATCACGACGGGGACCACGAAGGAGCTCGTACCGAGGAAGAGTATGCCCAATCGCCGCTCACCCTTCGCGCAATTGTTTCGTCTAAGGAAGCTGGTGTAATCATTGGCAAGGCTGGAAAAAATGTTGCCGATCTTAGAGAAGAGACTGGTGTGAAGGCTGGTGTGAGCAAAGTCGTTACCGGGATCCCGGATAGAGTTCTCACTGTTACCGGGCCTTTGGACGGAGTAGCTAAGGCCTATGCGATGGTGTCTCAAACTTTGCTCGATAGCCCTCCAAGTACGATCGGTGGTGGACCACCTCCAGGACCTGGAAGTATGTGATGTTTTTAATATTGTTTCCCCCTTCCCCTTCTGTATCGATTGGCAATATTGACCTCTCTTCCAACATGCATTTCTTAAGCTAACAGGGGATTACAATCGCTCAGCTCTCCGCCTGCTCATTTCCCACAACCAAATGGGGACCATCATCGGCCGCCAAGGATTGAAGATCAAGCACATTCAGGATGTCTCAGGAACCCGTATGACTGCTGCTAAGGAAATGCTCCCTCAATCGACTGAACGGGTGGTTGATGTTGCTGGAGATCCTGAAGCTATTCGCACAGCCATCTGGGAAATTGGGAAATGCCTTGTTGATGACTGGCAGAGGGGTACTGGAACTGTTCTGTATAATCCTGCAGTCCGTAGTCCCGGTGGCTCTAGCAGCGTTGGAATGGGTAATGGGATGGGCGGAAGTGATAGATACGGTGGTGAACGCGGCAACACTCGCTCTTACGCTCGCACTGGAAACGGTGCCGACTTTTCTGATAGCTCGCCTCCCTATCGTCGCCATGATGGTCCTTCCGGACGCCCTTCCGACCGTTCCCCATCCTCTTCCAATACCCAACCTATGCACACTGACGATGGAGAGGAAATTCAAACTCAGAATATCTCGATTCCCGCTGACATGGTTGGATGCATTATCGGCCGCGGAGGAACCAAGATTCAGGATATTCGCAGGAGCTCTGGTGCTAGGATCAGCATTGCCAAGACGCCCCACGGTGATACTGGAGAGAGAATGTTTACTATCATGGGGAGTGCAAGCAGCAACGAAAAGGCACTTTACCTGCTTTACGAAAATCTTGAGGCTGAGAAATTGAGGAGGAGTAATCAAGGAAGTCCTAACCACGAGATTGAATAGGCGTTTATCTCTTTATGGTTTGCTTCGCTTTCGAATGAAATGCAAAGTAGGAACTGTCGAGTTAATACGAATTAACTTGATGTTTTTTTCTTTTTCTTTTCTGCTTGTCTTTTTTCCCTCTCTTCTCCACTTCCTCTCCTTATTCTTCGCTCCACCACATTTTACTCCTACCTTTCCTTGCTTTGTTCTTTTCATTCTTACTAGTGGAGGTGGGGAAATATTCATTTCACGAAAAGCTTCTGCTATTATTGTTTCTTTTTTCCGAGAGAGCGAAGATGGGAAACCGGGTAATAGCTGGGAAAGTAGCATTTTCCTTGATGGGGTCCTGTATAGCTTTGGCTTAACAACCGGCGGGAGTATGATGTAATGTGCTACTGGAAACGAAATCTCTAGTTTTATCATACACGAGGGTTAGGAATTGGGGACGGCGCGATGGTGAAATGGGTGAATTAGGATGATTGGTTGATAAGGGGGCAAAAAACAAATCCATCCTTACTCGTCTGCTTGACACGACGCCTGCCTCCTCAAATTGCGAAGGAAAACTATTTATTTCCCGAATATCAAGGGCCTGTTTGGTTGATGGATTTTCTCCATGGATTGCCATCTTTGCAACGTAAAATCCAGAGACCCCCCCCAATCTGGATTTTGAAAAAAAGAGAGGAGTGTTTGGCTGCACAATCCATAGATTTGTTTTATACCTGCAATAATTCCTGCGATCAATGGGAAATATAATCACCCTTAGAGGTAATTTTCACATGGATTCAGAATAACCTGCTGTCCAAGTCTTCCGTTTCCGTTGGTCGCAACAAGACTGGTCCCAAGCCATCGCTGCAACCAAACAACCTTTCCCTTATTAAGCAACCAAAGGAAAAATAATCCAGGGGTTGACGATCTATAGGAAAAACTGCGAAAATTCCGGAGACTCTTAATCTATGGATCGGCTACAACAAGTGATCCAAAGATGCCCTAATGGGTATAAGAATTTGGAAAACTGTCCGCAACTAGTCTCTAAAATCCAAGCTCGCACTAAATCCTTAGAGAGAGCCTGGGTGAGCTCGGTAGTACCTATTTGTAAGGCTATTGTGTTGTGCCTGTGCGGAACGGGAGGGAAAAGTAGACTGGACTGACCAGGAAGCCCTGGGCGCATAAATGTGCCAAGGCACAAGAGCATAACCCCAAAAGCAGAGAAAGGCCTGGCCGAGTTAAAAAAAAAAAATTAGAAACGACTGAACGTATGATAAAGCCTAAGAATGATTGAACAATCCTGCGATAAATCAATCGATGGAAAGTGGTCTAGTGCATAACTAGAAATTCAGTCGCAGTGGCAGTGCGGTGGTCTGGTCGAACGCTGTTTCGGTGCAGGTTGCACGTAAATACCGGTGACCACAAGTATCGTAGTCTCGGACGCAAAAAGCGAGTGGGAAGGTGCAATTCTACAGCAAAGATAGCCCGATTTTATACCAGGATGTTAAGTTGGAGGAAATTCATAAAAATATGGACCGCGGATAGGATCACTGGGAACAGAAAGAACATCATCGTCTTCCATATACAAATGCCCACTCAACTCCCGGCTTCTCCACCGCCGCAGGTCAGCATTCTGGTTAAAATTTCGAATCCCGCCAAGACGCAAGTTTGTTCTCTCACCAAAAACGATGATCTTGGCTCAGTTTTCATGGATGTTTTGCTCCCGCTTGCTACTACGGTACTATCGAGAGGAGTTAAATTCGATCAAGATCACAGCAGAAGTTGAGTAGTCAGCATCGTTTTTCGAACACTATCAAGTTATCCTCAAGTATTACAAGTAGTGCTGGAATAAGTGGGGCAAAATTTTGGCTGTTTTTGGCGCGCACGTGTACAGTACTAAGTATGGTATTTTTCTTGATCGGACGGCGGCTAAACAAAATCTCGGAATCTCCCCTTGCAATACTGTGGATTCCGGATCTTGCGGGGTTTTAAATCTCCGCTCGCCCAACCGGGCCCCTATGCAATCCGCTTTTTGCTGTTTTTCAAGACTCTCGCTGGACAAGCGGCAGTGCGGGGTCTGCATTTCCGGATGAAGTGGTCTCGTCGTCGCCGACAATTCTGACCGAGATGGTTCGAAACGGAGGCAAATTCATTTTCTTTTTCATAGAAGTCATAACTAGGGAGCAGATACGAGGCTATTTTTTGGAGTAAATTTCAGTTATTTGATAAAGTGGAGTTGGTATAATGTTTTAATTATCAATCTTGTTATTTTTTTCAGCTCTGGGGCCAAAACTCCACTCAAATTCAATTATTATTATTAGCAAATCAAAGAAAAAGATAATCTTAAAATAATAATGTCATATCGGTGTTTTTTCTTTTTCCTTCCATTGTTACCCCAATTTCCTGTACCAGTATTATAAATTATTATTATTATTTTTAAATCATAATAACCATGAATGTCGGCTTATGATGAGCTGAGCCATACCACCTTCCACACTGCTACCATAATATCAATTTAAAGGGGCATCTCATATATTGATCGCGAGGTTCGAAGCCTAATTCCATCGTTGGCTCTACTCCTGACTAGACTATAGTAGTTATATGCTAGAAAGCCTTTGAGTTGGTTTAGGTAGGTTGAGTCAAAAGTTTAATGTGTAGTGAATTCTCCCTGTGAGGTTAACGTTCCGAGACGTGGGATACAACCACATTGCCGGGCAATGTTCAGCTATCGTGACAACCATAACTACAATAATATTATAACGCTGAGATCTGTGTTTTTATGGCACTTCCTTTGCCCGGGATGAGATCTGGTGATAGGACCCTTCATTTTGCTTGTGACCCGGACGCAGACTGGAATGGATGGTGTTGAGGTTTAGGGGTTTTCGGGATGGCACGGCCGGTCGCGTCTCACCACGGCTTTCAGCATCGCGGCGAGCAAAGACAGAAAAAAAACCCCTGCCACGATATCTTCGATCTGTTTCTCCTTCCGCACCCTATCATCGTTTATCATCTCTCTTACTTGCCAAGAATAGTCTTGGCACTTGTTCTAGACCAGTTTTTTTTTCACTCTTTCACCACAAGTACCCTTGCAACTTGCGCGCATTTATTCCAGCACTCGTGCAAACAAATCTTGCCGGGACCACCCACACGTCCTTGCCCGTAGATTGACAAAGGACCCGGTCCCCGAGTCTGCTTCGCAATGTCGCCGCCCTTCGAATCAATCTGCAACGATCTGGAACGAAGATACCGCCAAGGGTGCCGGAAGCGATGGGGGAAGTGTGTGCAGCCCCCTTGCCACTGCGTGGCTTGCGTTCAAATGTTATCGGTATTCATCATGTTTTTGAACTTCGAAGCGGTCCGGCTGACTGCCCTCTGCCAATTAAAAAAATCAAGGTGTGGAGGGAACACTTCCCCTATATAGCTTCCAGCACCTTAATTCGGTTTATCTGGAAGCGGGACCAGAGCAGTCAGGGAAAGTGTGGCTGAAGGGGCAAGCGAAAAGAAAGTTCTTTATGAGACGCTCTCTCTCCAAGCATGATATTGTAGCGAAAACTTGGTAGAAATCGGGCCCCGCATCAAATCATCGCCAGCCTACCTCCGGGGTGACAACTTTCCTGTGAATCTCGCTTTCCTAGCCTGCTTTTCCACACATTATTCGGCCTTTCATTTCAAGTTAAAACAAACCATGCTGCATCGCGCCAAGGCGTTTGACCGCGTGGCCCTTGAACTGGCCTACCATACCATTTCTCCTACTGGTAGACTGCTGAAACCGGGGAAAATCCTGTGCCACACCCGTCATTATCCAAGACAGAGACGACTAAAGTGCTGTGTCGGTATCCTTTAGCGATGATGTGCGTGGGTGCGAGCATATAGCAACCTATAGACTATTAGCTATGCTCTGAAGTTTGGGTAAATGGGGATTTGTGGTATAGTACTGTACTGTACAGTATGATACAAGCATTCGTACCCGCACATTCTTCACGGTACAAAGTACCCACCGCGAAACTGGAGCGCGACGAACAGGGATCAGTAACTGGTACCTCTTTGCCGACAAAGTACGGGTCTCCTGCCCTGTTCTTGGCCTGCCCAGTTTCGTGGTGGGTCCGGTGAAGACTGGGATAGTTAACCGGCAAGATAGTCCCCCATGTTTTACGAAAGCATCTCCCCCAGGTATGATACAGTACTTGCATTTGTTCTCGGGTAGAATAAATTCCGAGAGCAAGGAAGGGTCGACACACTGGTCCGAATAATAGCTGACATTACTGCTCCGGGCAACAAATTGGCATATTGTCCAGTCAAAACCTTATTTGTTTTTTATAAAAGTGACGGTTCCCCACGCCCACACAGATTTTCCATGGGTTTTAAAGGTTATCATCTTGCGAATTCAGTGAGGTTCGCGAAAGGGAATGCTAATCATGTTTTTTTTTTTTTTTTTTTTTTTTTGGGAGGGGGGGCATTCTAGCACTGCAAAATCTGAAATACGGCAATTGAACCTCAAGCTGGATGTTGGGGTTTTCTCCACTAATAAGGTCTGCTACACTTTTCCTGTTTGGCTCCTGCCCAACGGTGGGGATTCTGGACTGCTTAGCGGGGGGTTTAAGTATTCCGGTTCTTACAGGGGTTTAATCTGTTAGTGATTAGCGTAAACCATGGGGATCTGGAATAAAACCGGGAGCGTAATGGAGCAAATGCTGTCCGAGTGAGATGCTGTACTGTACAGTACAGCACTCACGTAAAGTGACTGAGAAGAAAGCCTCGACAATCAGACACCCTTACACAAGAACCGCCATTTTGAGAAACGGTTTGACCAGTCTCCTACACTGAGCTTGTGCAGGAAAATTTCCGCGAATTATCCAAGTAGCTAGCTATACATATAAGTAAGGATTGTCTTTCTTTCAGCTTTTCACATAATCATCTGATACTCCCATATATCGCAGCTTCAATGTATTAGGGGCTGAATGATTTTCTTAGTAAACAGGGGGTGGTGATGATGACTTTTTTAAGCGATGGTGGAACTTTTACGAGTTTGTAGAGCCTTCAACTGATGGCTGGTATGCATCAGGTTGGTTGTATGATATAGGCAACAATGTTGAAGCGGCGTTTTGTATTATATATGGCTCTGGGCTAGGGTTATGCACTTTCCGGAGTGGCCAGTGAACCAGTGAGTCGTCCGGGATGAGCGGATTGGAGTTGGCATAGATTCACAGTTCTGGTGTAGAATTCATGTCAGTCGTGTAAAAAAAAGAAAAGAAAAGAAAAAAAAAAAAAAGGTTGCTGGCCAGAACCCACAAGAGATGAGTGAAATTTTGACCCCCTTAGATCTACATCTCTATAAGAACCCCAATACCGATTATCCCAAATGTGCCAACTCGCAGTTACCCGGTAAATTTTCATTGATTTGCTACATCCCCCTTTCAGCTGCGATCAATTAATTGATAATTGACTCCTGCGCAAGAGGAAGTGTGAGGTCCCGTGATGCCCACGAGAAGCACAGGTAAAAGAATTTATATGGGCCCCTGAAGAAAAAATGTATCATATCATACCTGAAGATTTTTTTCACCGGTCTATCAACGGTGCAAGAAAGGTCTCTGGTCTGCTTCAGCTGGGGTTTGAATATATTATGAACGCCTGATACTAAGAGATGGCGTTACCGAGTCGTTGCGAAGGTGGCCCAACTCCTGGTGCACAAGGGCAGCTGATGATGACCCCTTGGTGGCGGGGAATTTTACTTACTGTACGAGTACGCCTTCTTGGACGTGATGCTTTAACATTGCATATGCCGGACCGGCAGACTCTTTGTTAGCTATAAATAGATACCTGTTGAATGCAGGATGAAGTATGCTCTCTGAAAGTGTTTTCCTTCCATGGCTAAGGATCATTCTGCTCATTGATAGGCAAAATAGTAGCATGTGATATTGTTCGTCGAAAATTCTGTTGTCATGAAGGTTGGTTCTGACCTGCCGGCACAAAGAAATCTCTCAAAATTTCTTTCTCTCCAAAGTCACTTAGTTACTTGTCCCAGGCGATAAGTACCCGAGGGGATGTATATCTTGCATGGGCGGTCAGAAACGTACAAATTTTTTTTTCTTTCAACCATGCATTCCGCAAATCCTTATTTTCGGGTTATTTGGCCTATAAAAACTGCCGGTACAGCATGTGCTTGCTCTCTGCCCACATCCCCCCTCCCGATAGGAACCGAGACATCAAGTCCCGAGTGATCCGTCGTGCACAGGGCTGTATCATATCATATCATACTCAATCTCCCCCACGCCACCTCTCTGACAGCGTGCCGCCGTCAGGCACCGTGCGATATCAAACGTACAGCTTGTGCTCGAGCATCTTGTCTTTCTGCCAGCAACATGCCTAGCACTCTACGCGTCTTTGCGTTTTTCCCTCTTCTCTTTGTGAAAGAAAGGAAAAAAAAAACTGATGCTCGTGATTCCTCGCCATCCACTCTTCGCGCTCATAATCGCACTTGCTCGTTAGATGTGTGGACCTCAAGACTAGGGGTTGAGACGTCTACAGGCAGATAAGCATAAATACTACTTCCACGGCACTTTACTGACCCATTGGCCGTGCGGGTTTTTCGGATACGTACCGAGAATTTGAGCAGAATATAGGCTGGGTCGCTGCGCCGAGGGGGTGTCGAAGCGGACTTGGTTAGTTAGATCTATAGTGTGTTGTACGAGGAGTGCAGATTGCGGGTGGGTGGTCGGGAGTATTGATTAGATAGTGGGTTTGGGGCTGCTTCAGCACTGCAGTTTGTGGAACGGCGTGCGCGAGAGGTTGTGTTTTTTTGGGAATGGTGTTTCGCTTCGTAAATGGTTCGGTAGATTTATGATACAAAGATTATCGTTTGGATACGGTACTGTACACTACCGTAGGTGAGGAGATGGATATCGTGTTCCCGCATAAGGCAATACTGTATGATAAGAGCTCGAGTGAACGGGCCATGAGATGGGTAGTCGAAAATTTCCTCCTCTGGAAAAGGCGCGAACTACACAACAACAAAAAAAACATGGCTTCCGAGACAGGAAAAAAAAGAAAGAAAAAAACGCCAGAACTTACCGGGAGGGGCAACCCCAACGTCCTGGCACGTGGTCCGGTTGTTTGAGTCCTTACGGCACTTGTGTTTGGCTGGCCTTGCTCTGGCAGAGGTACGGTGAAGAATGCAGGTCAGGATGGCGATCTGAAAGCGCGACAGCAGGTAAACTTCCTGCTGTTTCCCTCGTGGTTGTAGGTGCTCGTGATGATGGTGATGGTGATGGAGAGGAGGAGGAGGGCTGCACGCAGTTTTTCTTTCTTTCTTTGTTTCGCACTAAGATTCTGTTTCGACGGGGTAGCTGGTTGAGATACCGAGGCAAGGTATGATACTGGTACTGTACCCGGGGTATAGGTGTTTCCCTAAGGATTTGGTCTCAATTACCGGTATCATATCACCCTTCGTGCATTGTGAGGGAATATATTACCGGAGGTGCTTTGGCTGCTCTTCTTGGTGTCTACAAGCTGGCACCAAAGGACAGTAGCTATCATACTACTAGCCTTGCCTTCTAGGGTACTATTACTTGTACGAGTACTTGGGGAAAAGGCATTTTAGTCCAGCTTTACGGTTATCCGGCTCCTAATCTGGTATTGGTTAATTGGCTCCTAGTGCACCATCCCCGTCACGTTGGTTTCGTACCTGTATGGTATTAAATTATTGCCACCATGGTATCATATCAGCTATCTGTAGCCTTCCTTTCCCTTTCCACTCCCCGCACAATTGGAATTAAAGGTGCGGTGGTTCTGCAAGGGACGGCTCTAACTTCTACCCGAGTGCGAACTCTCAGCCTACGGCTCAATGCCGGTACCCTGCGGGTACGACGTGAACCGGGAAATCCTTTGATTGACATCTGATACCACAGTATAGTGGTAGAAGATGAATGGGAGTTTGGATAGCGGTGTGCAACAAACGAAAATAACCCTGTCTGTTCCTGAGTCCGGCATCACCCCTCCACGTTCTCTCACCCTCCGTTACTACTATCACCCCCCCTCGTCCTTCCTACCGTATCCCGAAGCCCTCACCATAGCCTCTGCATTCAAGCAGTGCGTGTGCGCGGGGGGGGGAGCAAAAAAGAGATAACTTCTCGCCTTTATCTCTTCTACCTTTTCTTCTCCCCCCCTCCTTTCCTACCCGCAATTCCTTCAATCGTTATAGGTGTTGACTTTCTTACGGGCCGGGATTCTTTCGTTTTTTTCGCTCTCCCCTTCCATCCACGTTTCCGATCTGCTACTAGCTTCACACCTCAGCGCGGAGCGCATTCACTCTCATTTTTTAAAAAAGATTTTGGAGCATTTTTTGAAGTGGTAATGGCAGTCATGGCGATGTTGGGTTCGACAACCATGCTTGCGTGGGTCTTGTTTGGGGGGTTGACTTTTGCAACTCAACCTGTTGCTTTGACGCCCGCACAAATTGCTGCGAATGCTGCCGGAAAGAGGCATAATTCAGATTTTAGGTACCTTGCTCTGCTTGTCTTCTTGTTTGCTTGGCTATCCCCCTCCCATTTTTTTTCATATCGCCAAGTTTGCTAAAGTTTGATGATGATTGTTATGCAGTAAATGGATGATAATATCACTCGCAGCTTTCGCTGCCCTTCCATTATTCTACCGGTTTTGCTCCGTCATATATTCTCGCATTCGCCTGCTGGTATCACTCGGTAGTGAGAATCAACGCTTCTTTGCAGCACCCCCGAGTACGTGGGTTTCGTTTATTAAGAAGCATGTCATATACTCGCCCCTCTTCCGCGTCCGCCATAACCGCGAATTTCGGCTTTCGACCGCTGTGAGCGTGGGCACTCTTCCTACTCGGTTTCAGACATTTTTCTTGCTTGGTTATTTGGCTGGGAATATTGTCTTCTGCACGGTTATGATTGATCGTGCGGTGGATACTATGTCTATGCTTGGAGAGCTTAGGAATCGTACTGGGGTGTTGGCTGCTGTGAACATGGTGCCTTTGTTCTTGCTTGCTGGGAGGAACAACCCTTTGATTCAGCTTATGGGTATCTCTTTTGATTCATATAATCTTATTCACAGGTGGTTGGGCAGGATTGTGGTACTACAGGCTGTGGCACACACGTCTTGCTGGGTGGCGGCAAAGGTTATGAAATGTATGGCTCTCTTAGTCTTTTTAAACTCTGAGTTTGATCCTGATAAGGAAAATAGCTGGCTGGGAGGCCGTTGTAACTCCCATCAACACAAATCCGTTCATTCGATTCGGTTTCATCGTAAGTCTCCTATTTCTGTCAAGCATATGAATCTCTAACAATCAAAGTCGGTCGTCTGCTTCGTCTTCCTCATGTTGCACTCTCCCTCTGCCATCCGCCATGCATTTTACGAAACCTTTTTGGTGCTACACATCATGGCCGCAGCACTGGGTGTGGCTGGCCTCTACTACCATTTGGAGATCAAAGGCTTTGCCGGGCTCAAGCATGTTAAGATTGCGATCACACTCTGGGCCTTTGACCGAGGCCTCCGCCTCCTGCGTATCCTCTACCGAAATGTGGGACGCAAGATGACAACGGCAACCTGCGAGGCCCTTCCTGGAGACGCCGTCCGTGTAACGCTTCATCTTGCCCGGCCATGGACCTTCAAGCCAGGGCAGCACCTCTACCTGTACATGCCGAGGCTAGCACTCTGGACCTCCCACCCCTTTACCATTGCCTGGAGCGAGAATGAGCAGTACATTAAGTTCGATGAGGAAAAGCTCTCCCTCCACCGCCAGGACATAGCTCATGTAGGACAATCTACCCTCTCACTCGTCATCCGTCGTAGAACTGGCTTCACAGACACCCTTTACAAGAAGGCTTACGGCACTCCGGAAGGGAGATTCACCACACGGGCGCTTGTTGAGGGCCCTTACGGGAAGGTTGATACGTTGGGCAGTTATGGCACCGTTGTTTTGATCGCCGGTGGAATAGGGATTACCCATCCGGTACCGTACGTGCGTGAGCTCTTGGATGGGTACGCAAAGGGCACGGTGGCCACTCGGCGAATTACCCTCGTGTGGGCTATCCAGAGTCCCGAGCACCTGGAGTGGGTCAGGCCCTGGATGACGGATATTCTCGCTATGGAGAAGCGCAGGGAGGTCTTGAAGGTCTTGCTGTTCGTCACGAGGCCCAAGTCGACGAGGGAGATTCATAGCCCTTCGGACACGGTGCAGATGTTCCCCGGTAGACGTGAGTTTTATAACCTTAACACTGTGTATGTTATTATAGTGCTAACTGGTTGTACCCTGTAGCTAATATCGATACCTTGCTGGACATGGAGATCGACCAGAAGATGGGCAAGGTGGCTGTCGCAGTCTGCGGGAGTGGCTCGCTGAGCGACGACGTCCGCCGCGCTGTCAGGGGCAAGACGCATAAGGCGAATATAGATTTTATAGAAGAGGCCTTCTCCTGGTAGATTATTTCTTCCCTTGTCTCCCCTTCCCCATCCATCTTCACATCAAAAAGCGAGTTTTTAGCTTGTCTCTCGTTACCTCGCTGAGGTATAGTATTTTTATTTGTTTTCATCTTATCTACTAGCGAATACCCTGGAAACCCATTGCTCTCGCTTTATTTCTACAAACCGTATTCATCTGCATTTCATGTAATATTTTACCACCCCCCCTTTTTTCTTTCGCACCCACCAATTTGTGTAGGTACAGTACAGTATGTTAGAACCATTCACCTGTAATGTATTTTATTCCCTTCTCTCCGCTTTCTTTTCCCCCTTTTCGAACAGCGGGACAGGGTCGGCGGTTTGCAAATAGAAGCCTCCGTGGTTTTCTCACTCTTTCCTTTCTTTCCAAATACCCGGTCAAGTTTCTTTGCTCGGGGACAAGGTACAGCAGTGGTTCCGCGACCGTCGGTGGGCGCATCCGGCGACTGGTCATGCCTAATCACTCGCAGAAATTTTCATTGCCACGCAATCTTCTTCGTTGTCTCATAAATTAGGGGTGTGTACTTTCTAAGAAACCCAATAGAAGGGGGAATCCCCCCATAGCTAACTTAGCCTACCTTCTTGAAAGCATCATGGTAGAACATGAACACGCTACCACTGGCAGCGGCTGGCGTGTACAGTATTATATTACATTATCACATTCGGGCTGTGGTAAGGGTGGGTGGTCCGGGAACAGGTAATACTGTGGTTGGTTTCTTATTAATCACTGCTTACCTTGCCATGGATGTGGTGGCTTGGCTTAACCCTTGATTTAAAGGGATCATGATACGGTAGGTTCTGTGCGCTTGGGTTGGAACTGCATAGGTTAGCTCTTGGTGAGTGTAGAGTTATTGCTAGTTATTGCTGTCCCAGAATGTCAATTTGGACATTTAAAAGAGAACACACCGGAAGAATCTCAAGATCCTGGCGGCTGTATCCCCCCCCCAGTTGCTTAAGTCCCCGCCGGCTAGCAATACTGAAGGGAAAGATCCCTTGTATCATAATAAACCGGGTTGCAGCGACTCCCACCTCAGTAATCTCACCGATCCCGCACCAGGAACACACCACGGCCCCCCACCGCTAGCAAGTGCCGAGCCGGATCTCACGCTGCCCCCACAGCAAACACTTAATACCCTAACATGCTATAAAACCCTTGACAGAAGACCCAAGGATGAAATTCTACGGGACTCGCGCTGGTCCACGACCAGCCGCTATTCCTTGATTGACGGTTCAATTTATTGGTGACCGGCTGTGAGTGAGAATCTGACTTGCAGATTGTATGATACAGTACAGCGCAGTGCTCGGTGGGCGCTTACTCGGCGGCGTCGCTACTTGACACCATTGCGTCCGCTGAATCGGTGTTGAGAGTCTAGCCGGAGTAGTTTTTTTTCTGGATTCTCGGGTGGGTTTCACACTCGGTCTTTGGCGATATGGGGATAACTGAACTTTGGTAATTCGGATCGGGAGGTGTCGCCTTGGGCTTGGTGGGGTAGAGGTGAGGTCCCGCTGGGTATGGGGTTCTGTTCTTGGGTGGTTATGATTGGTGTTTTGATTATTTTAGGCTGTAGTGTTTTTGAGGTGGAGTACAACTGGTGAGGTTTTGGGATATGCGGACTAGCTTAACGCGATGGTGTTTTTTATCCTGCAGGTTGGGGTGGACTGATGAAGGCCCAAGCCGTGTGCAAAGTCAACGTAATTCTTCCCGTCAGGCTTTGTTAATTCCACAACAAAAAGAAAGCTACAAGAAAACAAGACTTTCATTACCTCCCCCCCTCTTTACACCATCCGGTCTCATACAAAATCCCCGACCCACCTCATCCCGCCTGCCCGCCGCTCCTCCGACCACTTACAAGTCCCAAATTCTGATCTGAAGCTCCCTCATTACCTCCCTAACCTGACCTAGCCCAGCGTACACAGGTAACGTGTTAGCGTCGTATGATAATCCAATGCCAATTTGTAAATTTTTGCAATCTTTGTCCCAGTTCCTCAAGGAAGGATACACAGACTTTTAGTCCTGGTTCTACATTATTGATTAGTGCTGCACATGCATCCTCCAGGATGGGAGACTAGGAGGAGCACGTCTCGTTCCGGTGCTATTGGGTCTGCATCTATCATAGGAAAAGGAGGAGAAGGAAGAGGCATCAAGAAGTGGTGCGCGAAGGCGATTCCTGTATTTTATGTCTTCTTTGTGTCTTGAGTTTGGTTTTTTAATGATATGGCGATTTATGTATTAAGGGGGGGGACTTGGAACTACTGGCGGGCTGGGCGGGAGTAGATTTGTGTGTTTATATTGAAATTATTTGACCCTGTGTGGGTAACTTGAAGGAATAGCTTTTATCTCCTGATAGGGATTCTTCAGAGATGGGTATGATATTTATGAAATTCTCGAATCTTCGATCCGATGCAATCGCTGCTAAAGGCACATTGCAATTTTCACGCCGGTTACCCATCCCACACCCATTCTGTCCTGCCCCGTCCCATGGAACTGCCCCTCTTGGGTTCTTCGCACTATACTCTGAGCGGGAGACCTGGCACGACAGAAAGTGCGGGTTAGCCTTCAACAATCCGGAGTGGCGGGGACCTTACATAAATTTTTAATAGAGATTACTACGATACGAATAAGGTAATGAATGATAGTACCCCGGAGGCTTCTCTCATATGAGATTATTCTGCAGTGATTAGAGGGGATAGGGAAAAAGGGGAAACGTCAGCAAATGTCAGCAGGCTCTGCGCCATCTCTCACGGTTAACCAGGTACCGAACCGGGCCAACAAGCGCAGTCATGGCCCCAGATCTCCCTCCTTGAAAGTGCTTCTAGAGTTCTAAAAAATTCTAGGTTAGGATCATTATCAGGTTTTGGCCTTTGAAAGTTTGGCATGCTAGAATAAAGGGAGTTTGATACGGATTGCATGTATGTATTATAACTGGGATTCTCATGTGGTCACCCATTTTGATACTGATAAGGCGATGCAATCCTTTTTTACCAGGGGCGTACGGGATGCGAAACTTTGGTTGCGCTATGGCTGCACACATTAGCCACTCGCAAAATCAGCAACTCGGACGATCTCAATTAAAAACCCCCACTCAGTGAAAAAAATAAAATTGGTAGAAGGTGCAGTGGCAGCTGGGTATGTGAATTCTCGAAGAGTATTTTGATATAAGACTTTTGTGAGATGAAAATATTATGTTTATGATAAGCCTGAGAGGCATGTATATTCCTCTGGTCCTGAGGACAGAAGATGGTTCTAAAACAACCCAAGCTCTATTTCTATCTCGCCAATAAATATTTCCGGTATACTCCCTACTCTTCAAATATCCTTCCCCCTTTCTTCTCCCCTTTCACAGTTCCCCCCGTCCTTCCATTCCCTCATAAATTCTACTTTCACATCTCCTCACTCTTACCACTTCCTTCCTGGGACTCACCCTCCTGCCCACTTTGTCTCTCGCCCCCATTCCTAACCCTCTCTACAATCCACTCCGCTAATATCCTCTTCCTCTGCCTCGCAAACACCCCCTTGTCCCCCCCATGCCTAACAAAACTCCATTCTAAAGGCACCCCATCAACAACTACATCCCCGCCCTCCCTCCAAAAGATGATGTAGTCATCCACTTCCTCTGCGATATCCTCGATCTCTCGCGTCAGGCTAGAGATTATCCCCTCGGCATTGGGGATTGGGAGTTTGCCGGAGCAGACTTCAGCGTATGCCTTGTTAATGCGGACCATGGCAGAGGATTGGCGGGTTTCGAGGGGGAGGAGCTGCGGGATCTGGGAGGCCAGGAGCTTGATGGCCAGGTGTGACTGGTAGACCTTTGCGGTGGTATCTAGGATAGGTTTGCGTAGAGGGATAGCGAAGAATGAGTAGGTTGTGCACGGCTTCGAACTAGACATTTTAGATTTAGCTAAGTGAGTTTTGATGGTTAAGTTGGTGAATAATGATGTCTGTGGTTTCACTTCCGGAATGGTGTGACAAGAGGCGGAAAATCGGTCACTTTGCTGGCATTACTTAACTACGGTCCGATTTTTCAAGTTCTGAGCGACGTTCACCATTCAAGAGACTTTCTCCCTGAAATGGGATATGCGATGCAGCCACCCTAGAGTTTACGAACCTGGAAATATCAAGTGTCTAATTTGATACCCATTTGAGCCAGAAACAGCCTTCCCAAATGCCAAATAATGAACCCCCAAAACTCGGCGGATGCACTCCCGCCCATTCAAGATGTCTCCGCTGAGTAATGTATTTTCCTCCTCACGTATGATAACTTTACATTGGAGATTCATCATATCATCACATCACTCGAAATCTTCAAGGCATCGCTGGGGCAGGTTGGTGAACAAAACCGATGAAACAAACATCTGGTCCTACGATGCGATAGCTGGGGTAAGGTCCTAATCCTCGTATCTAGCGTATCGTATATACTATGATACTACAATTATTATATGTTTGTGGTTTTATAAAACCTACTCAAGTGCACATTATGAATGCGTCCGGTTCGATGATAGCTGAAAACACCTACGAACTCATATGACCAAAGGAAAATGTTTTTGGAGATGTACAAGCTTTAGTTCTTCTCCATATTAAAAATATAAGACAATGAGAACGAAAATATTTAAGACTTTGTCATGCTACAGAAGGTGTTATTTTTCATAAAAATACCTCATAAGTCAGTTTTCTTTTAAAGAAAAAAAAAAACATTTTGGAGAAATGGGTCCCTATTGGACATTCTTTTTCCAATGGTACTTTCTAATTATAGTAGTGCTCATGCTATAGTCCAATCTAAGCGGGTTCCATAACCAAACAGTATTTTCTCACCTAGATAGCTGTTGACATTAAAAAATACGGTAAAGGTCTCTCTCCCATACTACCCAATTTTAAGCTTTATCCCTCCCATACCACCCATCCCTCCCATGCTACTCATTAAAATGTAATCCCAAGATTATCTGGAAATCTTATCTTATTTTAATATTTGAAGCTGGTGTAGCAA